CTTTTTTTTTTTTTTTTTTTTTTGGTACCAGGGATTGAACTCGGGTCCTTGCACTTGCAAGGCGGGCCACTGAACCGCTGAGCTAAATCCCCAGCCCTAAAGCACTTTTTTAATGAGGAATTTTTAAAATGTTTTAGAGCAGTTTTAGACTGCTTTGCTGCAGAGTACTTTCTAAGTCATACCTCAATTTTGCTAACTTAATAATAAGCAATGTAGCAATTCTCCACTAAGAGATGAGGAAACTGAATTGCAGAGCACTAAAAAAATCAAGCATGGAGCCAGGAATTTAGCTCAGTGGTTCCACCGCCTGCCTTGCAAGGGCAAGGACCTGAGTTCGATCTCTGGTACCAAATAAACAAAAACAAAATCAAGCATGATCTGTTACCCAGAAAGTGCTAACACCAGTACTGAAACCAAATAAGTGATTCCAAAGTCCATATTCATATTAATCAACTCTTGTAAACATGATGAAGAAGCAGTTGTCTTTTGATATAAAAGAACTGAAAAGCAAAGAGCCTTTCATTGAGCAGGATGAACAGATTGTTCAGGATTGACAGGTGGTAGAGTTGCTATTGAGAGCAAAGATCATGTTTATAAGTCAGTGGCCCTTGAATTAACAATTAAAAATGGGAAAGGCCTCTGATGAACTCCTCTCTTAGTCCACTCTCCCTCGGCTGTCCTCACACACTGTTTTCCTTTGACAATAGGCCATGGTGAACGCAGCATCTACTTACATGTTTGAAGCCACAGAAAAAAGATTTTTTTTCAAAACTGTGTCTGTATTGATTCCTGAGACTTGGAAGGGAAATCCTCAATACAGGAGGCCAAAACATGAGAGCTACAAACACGTAAGTGTCAAAATCTTCTCTAATATAAAGGAATGTTTTCTGATCCTCCCTAGTTTTGCCACAGATTTATGGCTTCTGATTCATTCTAACCAAATATTACCATTTCTGTTCTCAGCATCTAACACCCTTTTTCAACATTCTCAGGCTGATGTTATAGTTGCACCACCGGCCCTCCCAGGAGGAGATGCACCTTATACCAGGCAGTTCACAGAATGTGGAGAGAGAGCAGAATACATTCATTTCACCCCAGACTTTGTTCTGGGCAGAAAGCAAAATGAATATGGACCATCAGGTAGGACATTTAGTCAAAGCATTAATTTTTAATAAGCAGGTTTGTCCCCAGGTCAAGTGGGAAGACAGGATCCAGAGACCCTGGGTTATAATTCTGGTTCCTCTATGTGTTAGCTTTGTGTGAACTATACAAATGAACTTGTTTATCAAAGCTAATTCCCATGTAAAGGTGAGTAGAGGAGTTCCTACATTTTGCAATTTTTTGAACTAGATAATCTGTGTAAATATATTTAATGCAATGGATAATGATGTCTTCAGAAATTTAGCCAGAGAGGAGAAATAATAAATATTTCTTAAGGCATACTTTTTAGATTTAATTTTCCAGACTTCCACAACTGGATGCTAATCACTCAAATGCCAGATCAATAGATTTCAAGTGTGTAGTAAACTGGAAACAGCCATGATACCAGTCAGTTTGTTGCTAATACAGTTATGTAAATTTTTGTTTGTAGCAGATGAAATTATCTGTAGTTTGTTATTTGGACCTCCTAAAATCACAGTTTCATCTAGTTCAATCTAAATTGTAAGCCTATTTTTAAAACTTAAAGTATGTGATTTTTTAAAAGGAAATCATTGATAAGGTTAGCCAATTCATATCTCATTTTCTCAGTACAAAATTTTGAGAACCCCCATACCTCAGAATCATTTCTCCCCTTCTAACGACAGTTAAGTGAACATTCATTCATTCTCCTGTCTCTGCCAAAGTTCAACCAGCCCTGATCATCATTACCAAGTCTTTCCTCATGACTTCGTGAAAGTTCCATACCCCTTCCTATCCCAATCCTACATCTCCCCTAAGTCTAATCCTGACCAGTTTTTTTTTCTGTGGCTCCTCTAATGCTCTGCACCCCCACCCAGCTGTCCCATTTCTACCTAGCATGTCCAGCAAACAATGCAATTTCCCCACCACTCTTATGCTAAGCATTTGTTTCACTTCTAAATCTCCAGTACTGAAAGACTCAGCCAGTCTCCATCTCCTGTCTCTAGCTGTTACAGAAGAGGAAGACTTTCCCAATTTTTAAGGCCAGTGGCCCCATCTGAACTCTTTATCTTGCCCCAGTTTTAGCCCTGTTCTATTTCAGCCCAATTCTATTGGGCTACTCTTCCTCTTAGAGGGGTCTTTATTCCAACAGGTGATATATGTGTTTATAAAACTCACTTTCTCCAAACCATGACAGAAAAAGCACAAGTCTTTGCTGTGGATTCACTTTTATTCTTCCATTCTCTTGAATTTCTTGTGAAAAATGTTTTATTTTAACTCCTTCTCTGAAAACATTTTCAAGTTAAAGACTACTTTGTATCATTCACATCTTTATGTTTCTTAACACCTCCTGTTGCACTTGATATTGAAAATATTGTTTTTTACAAATAATATTTATATATACCATAAATGAATCACTTCATTTTTAAATTCTCAAAAGCCTGTATGTTATACAATAGTGTTTCTCAATCTTTTCTTCATTCTCAAACTTGTCAGGACCATCTTTAGATATTTTTTTCCTAGATCCATCCACAGGGTATCTTAAAACAATAGAATTACTGTTGCCGATAGACTTCATGTTTCGAGATCCATAAACCATTGTAATATTTTAAGACCTTTCAATCTTCCAGAACAGAAGCCCAAATACAGATCCGTTCTGATCATACAATATATTCTATGCATGTTTTATTTATTCAATATGTTGTGAAGAAAAAGATAATATATGATGTAACAGTATGTTATTTAATGCAATAGGCTCCCTTTATAAACAAAAATATAAACATTGGGGGTTATGGAAAACTTAAATGTAAATATTTTTGAAACTGAAAGATCTTCTTAAAATTTTTGAGATGTAGAATTTGTCACTTGAATTTTGGCTACATTTTAAAAATATTTTTCTACAGGGAGGCTTCTTGTCCACGAGTGGGCCCACCTCCGCTGGGGAGTATTTGATGAATACAATGAAGATCGGCCTTTCTACAGTGGCAAATCAAAGACAATTGAAGCAACAAGGTAAGGTTACTTAAATTTTCTTAAATAACCTCAGGCTTTTAATTGGTTTTACTCTGTTTGTCCCGATATGTTTTAAATTACCCTCATTTTTATGTGCCCTAATGCCAGTAATAAATGCTATATCACAAAATTGCTTTTATTTTTGTGGAACCTTTATCTTAATGGAACTAGTTGTCTATTTAAAGTGCATGTAACATCGATGAAAAGTGTTTGTGGACAATTTGATACATTTCATACCTGCCTACCATAGCTGCCAGAACTCACTTTGACTGAACATATACATCATGTAGATGGACTTAAGATACACTGGGAGAAGATTAAAATTGTTCTCATTACACCAAGAATGAACAAAAACTGGTTAAGCACTGCTGAATGGTTAAGTAGGTTTGAGGAGCTAACTACGAAGTTCTTGGAGTTGCACAAACTCCATTTGAAAATATGAATCTAGCATCATGGCTAGTAATAAACTGTCTTGTTAATTCTGAACCAGAGAGAGCAAAATGATTGGAGAATCTATTTGAAATTAGGTGCCACCAACCTCATGATGTTATGTCCTGCTGGGGTTAAGGAATTGTCAATAATGTGCAAACTGAAAAGTACATAGTTTCAATGAAGCCCTTTCTCTGCCCGATTTCACCAGTTTTTAGGACTATATTTTGAAAAGTGTTACATTGATTGTTACATTTGTTTGTCATTTGCTTCCAAATAGCTTTTCTCCTTTATGATATGATGGTTCATATAGATGGCACCATTATATTGACTAGGTTTGGGGAAAGAGAAGCATAGACATGTTTGAGAGATGCCCCAAGGAGTGAAGGAAGTCTGGTCATCATCCTCTGACTTTCAACTGGAAACCTGTGGGAGAGATGAGACAGTCACATCTCAGCGCATCTGCTGTGATATCTGCCTCCTATTGCCAATTCCATGCAAGCACAAGTTGGAAACGCCTCCATCATTGTTTTGACAGCATCTCACTAACTCTTTGCTTCCAGTCACATTTCCTTTTGAATAAGAATGTCATTGAATAATCGAAATGCTTGTAGCTCTGCTTTGTCCCACTTTTGGGGTGATATATGTTTGAGAAGACTGCAAAGAACTTCAAGTTGTGGTGATTCCCAGAGAATATTTTCACCAGTTCCCTCATCCGGGTGCCTGCAGGGCATTCACCAAAATAAGGCCAGCAGGAGAGATGTGTGAGCCAGACCCTAGAAGCTTTTATTTCATTCAAATACTCAGTCATGTACAGCACTTAAATATTTCCATTTTACCCTAAAAAAATAAATAATTGCCTGAGCATAGGAAGTAAATGGAACACACAGAAGAAATACCTTGATATAAACAGTATCATGAATAGAACCACTTAAAATTTTAAGAAGTATTAATGACTAAGTTGCCTTAAAGATTAATTATCACGTATTTTCAGGTGTTCCACAGGTATGTCTGGTACAAACAGTGTTTACAAGTGTCAAGGAGGTAGCTGTATAACTAGAAGATGCAGAATAGATTCTACCACAAAACTGTATGAAAAAGATTGTCAGTTTTTCCCTGATAAAGTTCAAACAGAAAAGGCTTCCATAATGTTTATGCAAAGTGTTGATTCTGTAAGTATGTCCAATCCTTCCTTCCAGAATTGATAATCAAAACATATATCTAATTTCATTTGTTTATTTTAATTTTTCATCGTTCTGGTGATTGACTCCACCTAGGCAAGCACTATGCCTATAGTGTTACACTCCTAGCTCCAATATATTTGACTTTAATATATGTGTACAGATGACATGAGGATTAAATGTATGAATATGTTTAATATGAAAATTCTTTAGACATTGGCTAACACATGGTAACCATTCAGCTAGTGTTATCTATTGTTACTATTAGGGTCTTAGTTAAGCCTACTTTATTATAATACTGATTCACACTAATTGTATTTAATTTAATGAAAATATGTTTTAAATTTTTTCAAGTTTATAGTTAAGCTTTTAATGCATCATATAGTAAAATTATGTTTTCATTTTATTAACCTTCAAGGTTTCTGACTTCTGCAATGAAAAAACTCATAACCAAGAAGCTCCAAGTCTACAAAACCTAAAGTGCAATTACAGAAGTACATGGGAGGTGATCCGTGCATCTGAAGATTTTAACAGAACTGTGCCTATGAAGACTTCACCCACTTCACCTGCCTTCTCCTTGCTGAGGATCAGTGAAAGAATTGTTTGCCTGGTTCTTGATAAATCTGGAAGCATGGGTGTAAGTTTGGTACCTATTTTTCCTGGATGATAATTGACTACGAGGATGACACTCAACTCTACTGTTAACTGGATTATTCCAAATCTTATGGTGGCATAAAGTATCATCATTTCTTGTGATCATGATATTATACTTAATCACTAGAGATTAGAGAGAATCACCAATACTCTGAGCCAAATTTAGTCCTTTTATTGCTGGCTCTCGAGAATTGCTCACTCTTGAAAACTCTCCTTGATCAGAAGAGTTTTGTGGGTTTCTTTTAAGCAACTCTTCTAGTTGGGGAGGACTCACTGAAAGGGGGAGCATAAGTGGAATTTTACAGAAGCAGAACTTTGATAAGTTAGTAAGGGTTGAAGGAAGTTTCACAAACTGTAGTTGAAACAAAATATCACACAGATATGGAGCACTCTGTTCACAAGGGCATAAAGGTAACATACAACTGAAGCTTGTTCTGCCAAATGAGAAGGTCATAAAGATAACATACAGCTGCAGATAGCTCTACCAAATGGGATGTGGTAGTTTGTCATGTGTCAACTAAGGAGACTCCCAAGGTGGAGGTGGGGCAATCATCCGGAATCACTCAACTCTACACAAAAGGGAGGGGGACAGTGATAAGACACAAAATGGACTCGGGTTGGCTATTTCAATGATCTCAAGATATTGCAACAAAATATTAGAGTAAATGAAAGATTTCAATAGAGTTAAGAAGACTTTTCCCAAGTGTTTCAATTTTTCTTCCAAGAAGATGGATGATTTGTTGCAGAGAGCTCTTAGTTAAGCTTTCCTTGGAAGGTCAGATTGAAAAATGAAATTGTTTTTAGCCAAGGACTTTTTACTAAAAATGTTTGAGAGACATTAGGCTTAGTGGCTGATAAACTCCATTCTAGGATTTTCTTTTTAAAGACCAATGAGCAAGATCTTAACATAGCTTTATCTTATTGGTACCATCTGTCTGAGTGACATCTTTTTGTTCAAAGAAACAAACAAAAAATTACCATAAAGCATGTATGATTAGATGAAGTCATTCATTCCATTGTCACTCAGTGAATGGCTCTGAGAGTAGAAATCCATGTCTTTGAAAAGTTCATTGTTCAATAGAGAATGTTTTTTCTTTCTCTACTTACTGGTTAAGTAACACGGTTACTGAGTTGGGGTCTTGTCCAGGTTCTTCATGTCCTAAACAAAGAATTGAGCAGGACACCCAAGTTGCAGCAAGATTAATGAATGAAAAAAGACAAGATACATTCATTAAGTAGGAGTGAGAGAGTTCAGAGGACCAATAGGGTCTTGATGTGGAGAGTTTTGTCTTAGGATTTGAGGTGAGATTGAGGGTATGGTCTGAGGTATGACTCGTGTCAAAGAGTGGCTTGACTCAGCTACTCCATCATATGGTTGAGTTGTTTACCTTTTATGGCCTTGAACAAATTGTCATGACACCCAAAGCCGAGTTTGTTGTCAAATGCATAGTTCATGACATGTAATTAGGGTTGCAATTGGCCGAGGGCTGCAGAAGGTTGCTTGGTGCATGCCCAGTAACCTACTATGTATAAACTAAGTTACCTGGTTACCTTTCACATTGTGTTTAGGTCTGGACTTCCTGGTAATAAATGTTTAACTCAAAAGGCAAGTCTAGTCCCAGAAAATGGGCTCTAAGGTAGGCTGTCTCACTCTTTTTTCTCCAGACTTTTCTTTAACTCTCTCCTGTCTCACTATTTAATCTCCAAAATTTAGGAAAGTCTTCACTTCCTCCAGGACTTCGGCTGGGCTTATGGACTGTTGTAGACCCATTGTTAATTCTCAACACTTCCCTCTACATATTTCTATTACTGTATATATTTTTTAAATGACACATGTTTCCGCCAACTAGATTGGGAAATTCTCTAGACTTTCCTGATGTGTCTTTATAGCCCCTCGGCCTCAAACAGAATTCATCACAAATGATTGGTCAGTAAATAATTGCTGATACAAATAAGCTACAAACAATGCAATGTGATAAAGCACCTAGAAAGATGGTATATTTTAGGCTAAGGAGAGCATGCTGAAGACTGAGATTACTAAATTCAGCAAGTGGGGAGGAATGCAGCTATTTAAAAGGGCAAAGAATGACATAGATTAATTAAATGAACCACAATAACACAGGATTTCAAAGAAGCCAGCCAAGTGCAGACGCCAACACATACAAGTGACCTAGGAAATGTCACTGAGAAGAAGAGAGATTCCTGGTAGGGAGGAGATGAGCAGTCTCCCCTAGACAGGGTGCTATTAGATCCAGTTTTAAAAACAAAGTGGTGAAAAGCCTTCAAATATGGTCATATAGGAGTTTCTCACTGGGAAGATCAGTGGGAAATTTTGGTATGGGTTGTGGGGAGGGGCCACAGAGGTGTATAGTGATGAGGCACTGGAGAAGATAGACTTATAAAAAGATTTATATCCTGGGTAGTTATCTAGAAAAGTGAGTTGTGAGTGTTTTTTTAAAAATTCATTACTACTTGTTAATTTTACAAAACATTGGCCTTCACTGTGATATTTTCATACATATATATATGTATATATATATATATATATACATCCATGTCCCCATTACCTTCTGTTCATCCCCTCCTCCTTATTACCTTCCTCTTGAATCTCCTTTCTACTTCCATGCTTTTTGTTTTGTTTCAGATTTCACATATAAGGGGAAATATGGCCTCATTTTGCCTAACACAAGGATCTATTGATTTTTCTGAAAATGACATAATTTCATTCTTTTTATGGCTAAATAACACTTCATTCCTTCATATATATATATATATATAAAGGAGTGGCACAGTTTGGCCATATATTAGCTGTAGTTTTAGTTTTTTGAGGAACCTCTATACTGATTTCCATGGTACTAATTTACATTCCCACAAACAGAGTAGAAAGGTTCTTTTTGCCCCAGTCCTCACCACTATTTGTTGATTTTTTGTATCCTTGATAATAATCATTCTCTCTGAGGTGTGATGGAATTTAAATATAGTTTTTATTTGCATTTACCTAATGGTTAAAGATGCTGAACATTTTTTGATATGCTTAATAATGATTTGAGAAGTGTCTCTCCTTTTGAGAGCTATTTCTTCAATTCAATTGCCCATTTATTGATTGGGCTATCTGGGGTTTTTGTATGTGTTAAGTTTTTTGAGTTATTTATATTTTCTAGATATTCATGCTCTATGAAAAGAGTACCCATAAAAGATTTTCTCCATCCTGTAGACAGTTTATACACCCTCATGATTATTTCCTTTGCTGCACAGAAACTTTTTAATTTGATATAGTCCCATTTGTTGATTATTGCTATTGTTACTGCTTTCTTTCATAATACTAATTAACATTAAAAAATTCTTACAAATTTTTTATTGTATGTACTCGTTATGTGTGATGCTATTATCTTCCAGTTGAAAACTATTTGCTTGTTTTCCTGTTCTTTTTTATTCAGGGTAGTAACCGACTTAGTCGAATGAATCAAGCAGCAAAACACTTCCTGCTGCAGACTGTGGAAAATGGATCCTGGGTAGGAATGGTTCAGTTTGATAGTGGGGCAAACATTAACAGTGAGTTAATACGAATAAGAAGCAACAGCGAAAGAGACACCCTAGTGAAGAATCTGCCTACACAAGCTAAAGGAGGAACTTCCATCTGCAGTGGGATTAAAACTGCATTTCAGGTGAAAATCATACTGTAAATACATTTTGTTCTTTTGTTATTGTTTTCGGGGCATTTTAAGGTAAAGTGCTGCTGCACATACTTATTAATTTTAACATAATTAATCTTAAGAGGTACAGAACAAAGTACGTAGGAAAACTTCACTTGGTGGTTTTTAATGAATCAGTAAATTAACGAATGAGTGGTGTAAGAATAAGTGATATTAAAATGCCACTAGATTATAAAACTAATGATGTCAGAAACTTTATCATGTTACTATAGAATAGTGGGTACTACTTCTATGTCAGTAAAATAAATAAATATACTTGGATACAAAAGCCATCCAATGGTGTGATTCCACTTTGGGGCAGGTATCCCTTCATCTCTGTGACCTTCAGATTGTATGTGTACCCACTAAGGCAAACATAGCAGGGTGTGTTTGTCATATTTAAGTGAGGCCACGCGAGTAGCACTGGAACTTTCACCCCAGAATCCTGACTCTGCAACTTACTAGCTCGGTAATCTTTGGCAAATTTTTCAATCTCTTTAGACTCTGTGTGCCTTGTTTATAAAATACAGTAAATGGGAATGCCCACCTCAAAGGTTTATCATGAAAGTTAAGTGAAATTATACAGTCACATACTTAAAACAGTATTTGCCGTGTTATAAATTTTTCCAGTAATCTCAAGCATGTAATTATATCAGTTACATCACTTTCCTGCTTAGAAATCCTCTCTGTGCCCTCTCAGTTTACAAAACTAAGTCTGATTTCCTGAGTGTATTGTTATCCAGATCTCTTGCCCTTCCCTGTGTATCACCTTCTTTTCTCACTGCCCTCCACATTGTGCACTAGCTACCCCATGCTTCTGCACCTGCAATTCCTCTCTGTAAAATTGCCTTCTTCTTTCTCATCTCTGTAAGTTAAAACTCTAACAGTTTTTTTGAAATCCTCTTCATGTTATTTTCTCTGCTACCCCGCCAAGTATATTCAGTCTCTCTTATGAATTACACAGCATTCTAGTCTAGGTTTGTAAAAGGAGGCCCTGCATTCAAATTGCAGTTGTCACTTTTAAGCTCTGTGACCTCAGCGTGACTTTCACCCTTCTGATCCTGGTTAACTCATCATTAAAATGAGATATGAAAGCGAGCACAAAGCATTTTTCATGTTTTTAAAAATTTTTTATTGGTGCATATTTGCAGTAAATAATGATTACATTTTATCATGAGAAGTTGCTACACCTACATAACACATCATAAATCTTTTTTTCTTTTTTTTATTCCCCATTCACTCAATATATATTTATTGTCTGTCAGTTATGAGCCAAGCAAATCATCCTCCCTTGGTGGTATGTGTTATCTAAATAGAGAAAAGATATTAAACAGTTAAATAGAAATTGTTATTATAGATATGGTAATAATGTTGTGAAGGAACCTAATAATGCGGTGTAATAACCCTGGAAAAGGAGGGGATTACTTTAAGTGGAGAGACCACTGAAGCTACTGAGATCCCTCCAAAGGGTAACTCAAAGCTAAGATTTGAAGGCTGAGGAGGAACTAATGGGCCATTAGAAAGGGGGAGCCCAAAAGACTTTGGGAAGAAGGTGGGAAAGGACCAGATTATTCTAAGAAACAGTGGAAGCTGTTGGCCCTGGAGATTGGCAGTGAGGGACTATTTAAAATGTGGTCGGAAAACAGGACTATAGTTTTCAGAACTCTTAAAAAATAAAGTGTTTATTTAAGCACACCAGAAAGCTACTGGAGAGTTTAAAGCATTAGAGTCTGATCATCAATTTATATTTTAGAAGTGAGATTTTGGCTGCCCAATATAAAATACATTATAGTGAGCAAGACTGGTACTAGGAAGACAGTTTGGGAACTCAGATGTGGATTAAATTACATAATACAGGAAACATCGTTAACACATAACAAATGTTAAGTAAATGATAATATATTTCATTATTTATATTGATGCATACAATATACATATTATACATATACATTGGCTGTACATATTAATTGTATCACTGTTGCTCATCTTTATGTTTCAGTCTCTAACACAAACCTTGGTAAACATTAAATGGAATTTAATTTTTTCCATGGATTCAGGAATCTTGCAGCTCCCAGCACAGTGACTGACGCATTGTAAATGCTCAGTGAGTAAACTAATGTAAGAAAGTGAGAGGTTTAGAAAGAGAGCTCATCTTTCATCCCTGGATCTCCATTTCATACTCGGTAGAAGAAGTGTGATGGGGTTGTGTGTAAATGCCATAAATACTTAAGAGACTTTCTTCTATTTTTCAGTTATGTTTTGTTTTGTTCCGGTACCAGGGATCGAACTCAGGACCTTGCACTCGCGAGGCAGGTGCAACACCACTGAGCTGAATCCCCGGCCCTTCAGTTATGTTTCAATACATGTCAGAGTATATTCTTCATTTTCCCCTAAGTATGAAAAATCTGTTTTGAGGGCGATCAAATTTTTCTGATATCAGCTCTATTAGGGATTTCCACATTTCAAACTTTCTTCTGCAAATCTACACATAGCTCTACTCCATGTCCAAGAAAGCCATTGGTAACGGCACTCACTCTTCCCTTTTGGCCTAGACTCTGTTTCCCAAAATGGTAGTAAAGGAAGCCGTTACTGACTCAAGCAGTCAGAAAAGATGAAACCTAATTGCTATTCTAGGAAAGAGATTTTTAGTTCTCTATACAGGCAGCTGGATTCAGAACAATGACTTTTAAACTGTTGGGCTTTTTTTTTGGAAGTAGAATAAAAAGGTTTACTCCATCAATGGAGATCGATCACACCTAATTGCAGTGCCCTGGTCAATCCCCACTGGGTCACAACTCCTTCTTTTATAGGGTTTTACAGCCTTGATCTTATTCAGTTGGTTACATTGCATTTTCACGGTTAACTGTTGGGCTTTTATAGCTACAAATAGAACTCAGTAAATACCCATTTGGTCTCAGAACACTAATGCTTACTTCTGTGTTAGATACTACTTAAAGTAAATTAATAGTTGTGTAATAAGCAATAGCTATGTAATAAACTAAATGCACCTTTCACTTATAACCATATTGAGTGCTTTCTTTTTCCTTTTTAAAATTATTTTTATTGGTACACTTTTGCGATACATAATGATCACATTCATCGTAAGGCATTTGTGCCTGTACATGATATACCCTAATTCCTTTTATCTATTCCCCTCCTTTCCCTTCAGTCCTCCACCCCCTCTCCCTTTTCATTTCTATTGTTTTCCTTCCCTCACTTTTCTCCTCCCCCTTCCCTTATTACCCTTCTCATTTAATCTATTTCTTCCTACTTCACCACATCCATCATCCTCTTTTATACTTAATTACCCCTTGGATTTCTCACACAAGAGAAATTTTGTGATATTTAAATATATATGTCTGGTTTATTTTATCTAAAATTATGTTCTTAAGGTGTATCCATTTACCTAAAAATGTCACAAGTTTACTCTTCTTTATGACAGCATAGTACTCCGTTGTATGTAGAAACCCATATTTTCTTTATCCATTCATTTCTTGGACTGTTTCCAAGATTCAGCTATTACAAATTATGCTCCTACAAATATGAGCGTGCATATAAACTGGGATATGGTGCTTTAATTCTTTCAGGAAGATATTAAGAAGGAGAATGGCTGTATTGAATGGTACCTTTAGTTTTAGTTTTTTTGGAACTCTCCAAACTGATTTCCACAGTTAGTTACACTCCCACCAATGGTGGAAAAGAGTTCCTTTTCCCCCACATCCCTGCTAGCATTTGTTATTGGTTGATTTCTTGATAATTGCCATTCTCTCTGGAGTGAGATAGAATTTCAATGTTGTTTTAATTTGTATCTCTTAAATGGTGAATGATATTGAACATTTTTTCATATACTTCTTTGCAGTTTGTAGTGTTTTTTTGTTTGTTTGTTTTTGGCTGAGAAGTGTCTATTTATTTCAGGTGCTCATTTTTAGGACTGGGTCTTTAAATTTAGGGATCTGATTTTTTGAGCTCTTTTTATATCTAGATATTAGTCTTTTGTCAGGAATTTTTTCCCCATTCTGTGGGTTGTCTTTTCATCCTGTTGGTGGTTTTTTTTTTTTTCTGTGTAAATGCTTTTTAATATGATGAGATTCCAGTTATTGATTATTTATATTTCCTGTGTGATCAAGCTTTGTTCATAAAGTCTTTGCCTTCACCTATCTCTTCAACAGTTCTACCTATTCTATCTTCCAGCAGATTGTTTCTGCTTTAATGTTTAGATCTTTGATCCATTTCAATTTTAGTTTAGTGCATGGTGAGAGATATGGGTCTAGGTTTTATCTAATTTATTCTACTGATCACTGGGTCTGTTATGTTGTTGTTTTGTTTTGGGAGTTGTTTGTTGCTAATACCATACTGTTTTTATCATGATAGCTTTGGAGTATAAGTTCAAGTCAGGGATTGTGATGCCCTCTGCCTGCCTTTGCTGCCCAGGATTATTTTTGTTATTCTAGTTCTCTTCTGGTTCCAAATTAATTTTACAATCTTTTACTGTAATTCTGTGAGGTATTCTATGGGTATTTTGAACCTGTACAACAATTTTGAAAATATGGCCATTTTCACTATATTGGTTCTGCCTATCCAGAACATATCTTTCTATTTTCTGATATCCTCTTCCATCTTCTCTTTCAGAATACTTTAGTTTTCCATGTAAAGTGCTTTTACTTCTTTCATTACATTGATTCCTAAGTATTCATTTTTTTGATGCTTTGTGAAAAACATTCGCTCTCAGTGAGTTTATTATTTGTGTACAGGAATGCTATTGATATTTGTGTTGACCTTTTATCCACCTATGCCACTGAATTTGGTTATTAAATCTAGAAGTTTTTTGGTGGAATTTTTTTAGGTCTTCTATGTAGAGTATCATGTCATCCACAAATAATGATAATTTAACTTCTTCCTTTTCTGTCTTTATTTCTTTTATTTCTTTCTGTTGTCTAATTGCTCTGGCTAGTATTTCCACAACTGTATTGAATAGGAATGGTGTTAGTAGAAATCCTTGTCTTGTTCCTGAGTTTAGAATGAAAACTTTCAGTTTTTGTTCATTTAATATGATGTGGGCTATTGGTTTGTCATACATGGATTCTATCAGATTGAGATAAAAACCTTCAATTCCAATTTTCTGAGGCATTTTTTAATCATAAATGTGTGTTGAACTTTGTCAAATGCTTTTCTTGCATCTATTGAGATGATCGTGTGGCTTTTGTCCTTGTTTCTGTTAATGCTGTGTATTACATTTATTGATTTGTGTGTATTGAGAGATGTCTGCATCCCTGGGATGAATCGTACTTGGTCATGGTGTAAAATCTTCTTGATGTTTGCCAGTACCTTATTAATGATTTTTGTATCTATGTTCATGAAGGAGATTGGCCTGTAGTTCTCTTTTTTGGTTGGATCCTTGTCTGGTTTTTGAGAAGGACTGCTTGTATACAGGAGTTTGGAAGTATTGCTTCCCTTTCAATTTCGTTAAAGAGTTTGAGGAGTAGTGGCAGTAGATCTTTTCTAAGGTTCTTGTAAAATACAGCAGGGAGTCCATTAGGACCTGGGCTAATGTTGGTAGCTTTTTAATTACTTTTTAATAATAATCTTATTAGATTACAGGTTCTTGATAGGTAGGTATTGATAATATTCTTGTTTTATGAAGGATCCGTTGTGATATACTTTTAATTCTTAATTTCATGGATCTGAATTTTTTCTTTCCTTTGTTGATAAGATTGGCTAACAGTTTGTCTGTTTTAATCTTTCAAAGAATCAACTCTTTAATTAATTCTTTGTATTGTTTCCATAGTCTCAACTCAATTAATTTCTGCACTGATCTTTACAATTTGCTCCCTTGTACATGCTTTGGTTTTAACTTGCTCTTCCTTTTCTAGAAGCTTGAGGTTCAACATTTGTTTATCTGAACTCTGTTTTTCTGATATAGGAATTCACCACTATAAATTTCCCTCATAGGACTGCTTTCATTGCATCCCATAAGTTCCTGTATGTTGTATTGGCATTATTGTTTAATTATTGAGATAAATTTCTTCTTTTATTTCATCTATGACCTACTGTTTATTCAGTAGGGCATTATTTAATTTCCATGTATTTATGTTTTGTGGTTTCTTTTGGCATTGGTTTTCAATTTCATCGCACTGTGATCTGCTAAGACTGATGTGATAATTTCAATTCCTTTGCATTTACTTGAGTACATTCTATGACATAATATGCGCTCTGTTTTGGAAAAAGTCCCATGTGCAGCTGAGAAGAATGTGTATTCTGTTGTAAGGTAGAACACTGTAGATATCTACTAAGTCCACCTGTTCAAAGGTTTGGTTCAGCTCTGATATTTCTCTGTTGATTTTTTTGTCTAGTTGATCTATCTGTTTGTGACAGTGGGGTATTAGAGCTGGAATCAAAGACTTTTTTATGTTGAGGTAGAGTTTTGATGCCTCAAGCTATATGAACAACAGACTTTGGGTAGAGAAGGCTTTTCAGAGGATAATCAAGTCAGAGAAACCAAAAATATTTATAGCAATACCTCAAGAATATATTTTGGGTATCTTTTCCACCTGAGTTTCCCAGGCTGAGTTGTCACTGTCATTTAATGTAGGCAGCATTTTCCAAAACCCTGATATCACCAAAGTTTAAATCAGTAAATATTTCCTGTAACCGGAGAACAGGAAAAATCATATTGTAACATTTCTCGGTACAGCGAGACGTAGTGCTGCATGCCTGTAATCCCAGAAGGAGAGGCTGAAGCAGAAGATAGACAAATTTGTGCATAGACAAGGTGACAGACAGACTTTGTCCCAAAATTAAACATAAAATTGGCTGGGGATATAGTTCAGCACAATGAACCTGGTTCAAGCCCCAGTACAAAAAAAAAGCGGGGGGTATAGATTATATTATTTTAAAACAAAGATTCTTCTATTCTGCATATTTTTGTTTATTTTCTCTGTTTATTTCTACTTTCACATTGATCGATTTGATCTACAGTGGTAATTGTGCTCTAAATATGTTTTCAGGTGATTGAAAAAAAAAACTTCCAATTAGATGGGTCTGAAATAATGCTGCTGACTGATGGGGAAGACAATAAAGCAAGCGCTTGTATCGGTGACGTGGAAAAAAGCGGGGCCGTCATCCATTTCATTGCTTTGGGACCATCTGCTGATCAAGCAGTAATACAGATGAGCGATGTAACAGGTTAAAATATGGTCTACATAGTCCAGCCCTTTGAAAGCAATGTATAAATAATCTTGGTTGACAACTAGCATATCTTACTCTGAGAGTGCTATGCCTGGAAGTAGAGATTAGGGTCAAACTGGGCCCAATTTCTGTTCTTAGGTTACTCAGAAGCCAATTGTCTGGAGAGACAAATAAAATGGATAATCAAATCTCTTAATGAGATAACATTTCTTCAAACAGAAGGAATATAGAAGATCTCCAGTTTTCAGGTTTCTAATCTACTCTGTCTGGAAAAGCTAAAAGCCAATGTGCTTAGAATTATATCCTAAATAAAAGTGAATACTTCCCCTAAAGAACCGTTGTAAAGATTGTGAATTTAAATACACAGAATTGTGACATCATTTCTCATAGTCTGATTTCTGACGGATTTCATCTAGCTGAGAGATTGATAATGAGGTATTAAGGTGTCTTATACTTTCTGATTATGGTATTGTAAATTAGCTTCTCAAAATTAATCTTTACAAGTAAATGAAATTGGTCTGTTTTAACAGTACATAATGAAACTATAATTTTCTTTAAACCGTTGACTTATTAATCACTAAAATGCATTTATTTTCTAAAAATTAACCTAGCTTTGCTTTTACATTACAGGAGGAAATCACTTTTATGCTTCAGATAATGCAGAGAACAATGGACTCATTGATGCTTTTGGGGCCCTTACATCAGAAAATGCCGATCCCAGTCAGAAGCCCATTCAGGTGACAGTTGTCATTGCCAGGGTTTGGGGTTTGCATTTACCAAAACCAAGAAAAAGAACTTGGTATTGCTGTATAAAATTAATAAGTAAAGAGGAAAAACTGATTATTTTGAAAGAACTTATTTTGAGGATATTATTTTACACTCCGTTTTTTCTTTAAATATTTTCAGTGGATAGTGTTAGCTCCAAATGGAATATTCTCAAGACATTTTTTGAAATCTACTCTGAAAGAATGTCCCATCTTTTGCTTTCTTTTTTTCTTAGGATCCATCTTTCCACATCTGTTTTCCCTTTTCCTGATTACATTTACATCCAGTTCCTCATTCTCTACCTAGAATGAAAATAGTATTTCAAGATTCCACACAGGAATATATCCATGAGAGCTTGTCTCAATTATTTACTAGTTCTAATTATATAACCCAGGCCTTCACTGTGCCCCTACTCAAATACTCTAACTCCATGTAAATATTTGTTGGATAATTATGAAGATGTTTAAACTCACACACACACACACACACACACACACACACACACAAAACCTTACACACATGTCCCCAACACTAATCCTTCTCGGTGGATGTAGCTTCCTTTAAAAATGAAGACTAATGTGAATAGTTACACTGAAAACTGGGAAAAGAATCAAAGAATCCTGTCTGTCTCCATGTGCAGAACCCATGTTCCTACTCTAAGGCTTTTGTCATACACAGCCTACCTTCAGATCCTACATTTCTGTACTTGCTGGCTAACAACTGTTGCATCCCAGTAAGATTTCAAAAGAAAAAAATCACAATTTGAGTAGGGTGTGCTATATATAAACTTGTTTCAGAGCAGATATTAAGAACCATCCTTAAAGAAAAAAAGAATATTATAATTAATTAGAGTAAAGCCATTCTCTTCTGCGGTCCTTAATTTTTAAAATATGTTTAAACAGCTTGAAAGTAAGGGATTAACACTACAGAATGATGTCTGGATGAATGGCACTGTGGCAATTGATAGCACAATAGGAAAGAACACATTCTTTCTCATCACATGGAGTGGTCAGCCTCCCAGTATTTCCCTCTGGGCTCCCAATGGAACATCGATAAAAGGTTTCACAGAGGACACTGCTTCCAAAATGGCCTACCTCACTATTCCAGGAAATGCACAGGTAAGCAATCAGTTTTAGACATCCTCTGAAATTTTAAAGTTGAAAATATACTGTTTAATGTTCTATCTGTGAATGCCAATTATTATACCATTGGTGAAATTAAGATAAAATCCTCTGTAGTTTCCTTGATTTTGTGATCCTAAAAGTTATAATGGCAGGAAACAGGAAAAAGAACTCAGGTAGCAGGAGGAAGGAAGAGAAGGTAGGCCAGGAATATACAGAGGATATATAGTAAGAGTCTGAGCAAGCTGACATGCATAGTGCTACTGAGGTTAACAAATTAGGCCAAAAGCGAGGCAAACTCCCAAAATTTATTTTTTCCAGTTGAGATGTCACACAATATAAACACCATGCATGACACTACTCAGGATGCCCTGCCAGAACTGCTTCAACTTATATATTTTAAAATATTAACCACCTGTTTATTCTACTCTATGTCTCTGAATTTATTATGTATAATAGGATAACAAAATAACTTGAGTATGAATATTTATCATGTTTTCATTGAACATATTAGGTGGGCACTTGGACGTACAGTCTTCGAGCCAAAACAACCTCGGAAATACTCACTATTACAGTAACTTCTCAAGCAGCAAATTCTGCTGTGCTTCCAATCACAGTAAATGCTAAAATGAATAAAGACACAAACAGCTTCCCCAGCCCCATGATTGTTTATGCAGAAGTTCAGCAAGGCTATGCGCCCATTCTTGGAGTCAATGTGACTGCTGTCATTGAATCAAACAGTGGAAAAACCGAAATTCTGGAACTTTTGGACAATGGTGCAGGTGATTCACAGACGTTTATGCATAAGTCAACATTTTATAAATAAGGTTATACCGTGGGTCCTAGAGTCAGTATGGGACAGGAATATAGGCACCAATGAATTGAGGCAGAGTATGGAGGAAAAGCAAGACCAGCAGGAAATTCTATCAGATGAAACCTACAAAGTGCTTTTCAACTGTGTTGCACATGCTAAGCACTCAGTAAATGTTATTTATTATCATTATTGCTGTCATCTACACAACCAGTATCTATCACCAGAGAGACATAGGTCTCAAGAATTCAGAACAAAATAAAAAATTCTGGACGAATGCTTCTTAGGGAGGTATCATCAAGAAAATCTGCTCAGAGAGAGTGAAGCACAAGGAATTAGATTGAGCTAAGTGGAAGAACCCAGGCTCAGGGCACGGGAAGGGAGCGAAGCAATAATAATTCTCAAGAATGGGAAGAAAGTACAAGTACAGTCCCGAGAGTTGAGGACTAGAGGCATGTAGAGCTGGCCCCAGAGAAAGATCATCCCTGGGGCATTAGAGAGCAGGTCTGCTTGCCAGGTAACAAGGAGTGTGCTGGGAATTCTGTTTTCCTGTGCTGTGTGGGTGAGTGGTACTTGAAGATCTTTTTTCAGAATCTAGATTTTTCTGGAAACTGAAATTTTTGCTAACAGTTCAGGATGCAAGGAAATAAGGAATTTGATAGAAAGATATCTAAATTATTACATAATTCTCTTGGAACTTTTCACAATGTATTTTATTCAGTTCATTTCATGATTCCGACAACTCAAGTGAACAAATTTTTCCTTGATTACCTCAATGTCTTTTTCTACAAGTATCACTTGTGTATTATTCTACTTTTCACAAACCATCTAAAAATCATTAAAACTTGTTTGCATATTGTTTTGGCACTTTGCTAGATGAATATTTAGCTAATTGTGAAGTTAGCTAATTTAGAAAGCTTCATCCTGAGTAGATATTGGTGATTAACAATGGCTTAGAGTGGACATTCTTACACTTCAGTGTACAAAGGAATCATCTGGAGGCTTGGTTGAAACACATAATACTGAGGCTCTTGTCTATGTAGTCTGAGAAATTAGCATGTCTAAAAGTCTCCAGATTTTCAGAGATAAAGACATTTCTGGTCACAGTGTGGTACCTTATGTTTAAAATTATTCTACTTAGAATATTAAATGTTCTGAGAAATGGGTTTTAAAAGTCGGCGGTAGTCTTGACCACTTCAACAGTGTTTCTTCTAAAAGTAGATGGGGATTTCCTCTGTCAGACTAAAGAGTTAATATATCAGGACAACAAGAACAAAGCAAACAAAAAAGATGTAGAAAATAAAGCAACTCAAGTAACTTTAGATGAACCAGCAAAAATAAAACCTTCAAATGATACTTTTTCCTTAGTCAGACCCTTTGAAATTGAAACTTGAATTAATTTGATTATATCAGAAAACCAATTTACAGAAAATTTGTAAGACTGCTATAAATTGTACACAAATGGAAAGAGAAAGATGTAGTATATAAGTACTAATTATATATGAATAGATAGCAATGTGTTTATGTGTGTTTTGTATGTAACAAATATATAGATACCAAAATACCTCAAGGGCATCAATTCATCCATATATCGTTTGGACACAGAATAATGGAAATATTCTTCAGGGATTCATTCCCAAATTGCCAAGCCCACCATAAAGGATACGTCTACCAAAGCCAATATTTGTCATATATAATGCATACATTTTTGCATTATTTACAAAAAAATTATTTTTCCTTTCTATACAAAGGTGCTGATGTATTAAAAGATGATGGGGTCTACTCCAGGTACTTTACAGGTTTTTCAGAAAATGGCAGGTACAACTTAAAAGTACGAGCTCATGGAGGAGCAAACTCTGCCAGGCGAAGCTTAAAGTATCCACTGAGTAGAGCCGCGTATATACCAGGCTGGGTAGTGAATGGTGAGTACATCATCATATCTGAAACCAGTGACAAGTGGACCAATATTTGCAATTCGATATAACTGAGGTAGGGCTCCATTTTACAACTCAATATAGGTTTTCTATTTCTGAAAAGGAATTCTCAGTTAACTGATTCCAAATTCAGCTTTGGAAAAAAGTCAGGCACTTCATACACAAAAATGCCAGTTAGTGTTGCCTTACTTTGGAAAGCCTTGTTGATATCAACAATAATATGTCCAATTTTCTGCCAAGACAAAGGAAATAGTTTAATATATTAAGAGCATAAGTACACATCAGTGGCAGGATTTAGCCTTCATGTTACAACATTAAACATTTGTTTGGAATGTTTTATTAAGTCAAAAGAAAAATTGTGTAGAGTAAGGTGATACCAAGCATACACACTGCATTCTTTCTTGCCTTTCCTTTTCCTGATCCCTGATCTTATGACTGGCTGTTCAGGGATTTTGTCAGCAGTTACAATACCCTCAGTATTTACAACAGGGAAGGAAGGACCTGGCCAAGTGGCTGGAAGGGAACTGCAGATATAATTTCTAGATATAATTCCCAGATATATTTCTAGCTCGGAGATAATTTGAGAGAAAAAAAAAACATTTTTGAAGGGTAGACATTTATTATATAATATTAATCTCATTTAGTGCAGTTTTCATCCAAAGCAATTTGTTGCCTATATTTATCCTACACCATCCTGTTTAGGCTACTAGTGACAGAATTCCCACATCAATTTGAGGTTTAGTATTATGTCACCAGACTTGGCAAAAGTGTATCTGTGTATATGGAAAAAAGAGAAAGACAGATGAGATAAGGGAAGTGATTCATTAGAGTGTAAAAATACCAGTTCACTTTTGCCTGTTTTAAACTAGAGATTATTTAATGTAGGGGAAATCGAAGGAAACCCACCAAGACCCGAAGCTGATAAGAACACTCAGACAATTCTGGAGAATTTCAGCAGAACAGCATCTGGAGGTGCATTTGTGGTATCAGGATTTCCAAACACTCCCTTCACTGACCCGTACCCACCGAGTCAAATTACGGACCTGGATGCCACACCTGAAGGAGAAGAGATCACTCTGACATGGACAGCACCAGGAGAGGATTTTGATGTTGGAAACGGTAAGAACAAAGTGCCATGTGGTTTATCCATGTGATGAAGGATGCTTTTGAAAAGCAAGGGTGTAAGGGAGAAGAGTATCTAACGGACAGTCCTGCAAATCTTAAAATCTGATTTTTAAATCAATGAAACATGACACATTTTAATGTAGGCTCTACTTCTCATACAAACATAGTAGCATTTGGCAAAATTTAAAAGTGAAAATGTAGCTTTTATTAAAAACAACTATGATTTCTGATACAAGAATATACTTTGCTAGCTAAAGAATATCTTTGAGAATAAATAAGAAGTTTAATAACACGCTACAAGTACTAAACTACATGTAACTTTTTTCCTTAGTTCAACGATATATCATAAGGATAAGTGGAAATATGATTGACCTAAGAGACAATTTTGATGATGCTCTTCAAGTTAACACTACTGACCTGTTGCCAAAGGAGGCCAACTCCAAGGAAACCTTTACATTTAAACCTGGAAATATCCCGGAAGAAAATGCAACCCACATATTCATTGCCATTCAAAGCGTAGACAAAAGCAATTTGATTTCCAAGGTGTCCAACATTGCTCAGGTGGCTTTGTTTATTCCTCAAGCAGATCTTGGTCCTGATCAAAGTCATCCTAACCCTAGTCCTGAAAAAAATTATAATTTTGGAGTTAATATTTCTATTCTGGTCTTGTCAGTAGTGGGATCTGCTATACTTGTTACTATTATTTTAAGTACCACTATTTGTATCTTAAAAAAGAAAAACTCTTCAAGCAGACCTAGAACAGGGTTTTAAAAATCAAAATAATGTAATTAAAGGATATATTTGAATTTCTAAACTTATTTTGTGTGATAATGAACTGCAAAAATCATATTAAGATATCTAGAAAGGGCATTTGATTAAAAATAAGCACCCTATGGATATATAAACTGTCAATATTCAACTTTACTAGTTTTATTCACTCATTTTATTTGCTATAGTAATGAACAAATAACCTTCTTCATATTGATCGAAAGCAAATAATAAAATTTGAGAGAAATTAATTTGGTGTTGGCGCTATTTAATTGAGGGCATTATATTCACCAAAAATCTCCAATTATGTGTTATACTTGCTAAGTTGATATTTACTACACTGAATGGACATGGGAGAGACTAGTAAAAATATCACATGCTACCTGTCAAACTATAGCTTTTCCTGATTTCAATTCTATATAAACATGTCTTTTCCTTTAAAAACCACACTTGCTTATGTACATCATAGAAAATAATTACTTAAGCTGCTATTTATTGACTCAGGGAAAGAAAACAAAATATATTTAAAATACTTTCATTCATCATTCAGTGTCACAGCCTTGTAACTGCAACCACATGCAAGTTGAGAAGAGCCGGCTCACATGACAGGCCATCTTTACAAGCCTGTCAGGCTTACAACAATATGGTTTTCTTTTTCTTCCAACTGCTGGTTTTCTCACATTACACAGGAAGTTTGACTTCCCTAACTCACTGGCCAGAGGAATCAAAGAGAATCTCATCAAAATCATCTACTTACTTATTTCCTTAGTTCATGTACGTTGGGCAAAATCATTTGCTTATTTGGAAGTTAACTAAAATGACCCATATACACCGAACCCAGGGATCACTTTTTTTTTTCTTTTGCAATGTAACTTTATTATTCCCGTAATCCAGAAGTCAAATCTCTTGTTCCATCTCTTTGAATTTGGGACAGATTTGTTTTGCCTTTACTAAGAGAATGTGGCAAAAGTTATATAGTGCTAGCCCTAGAGCCCAGACACCTCTGCACGTTCAACCTCCCTTATGTTTTCCTGGGATCTCCCTTATACAGAAGAAAGCAGTCTCCTGCAGGATGAGAGACCATGAAGAGATGTACTGAGATGCTGGGCTGAAGGGTCCAAGATGGAATCACATATTGACAGTTGTATCTATTGGATAATATACCTATCTTGCGGATGCACGAGGACCCCGCAAAGGGCATGCCAAGAACAGCAGAAAAACATTGTTCTTTAAAATTATTAATTTTTGGAATATTTGTTACACAGTAGAAGATACTTGAAACAATAACCTTGCATAGTGAGAATAGTTAGGTGTTAAGATTTAGGTTTTGTTCTTAGACTATGACACAGTAACTGGCAGGTAAAAATGGACTATGTAGTTAGGTTGTTTTCCCTTAAATATATGATTTAGAAGTTTATTTCATGTCTCTACTCAGTTATAGAACTTCCTGGGGTTTCTGAAACAATGAACCCTTTCAGAAATATCTAGTTAAAGATTTATTATTAGTGTTAACATATGGATTAAGACAAAAATCAAATCATTAGCTCCTGAATGGTTTTCGCAAAATAGCCCTGAACTATCTCATTGAGGCTACAATCTGGATTTCCATATCTGTCTTAGAATATGGTAGCTTTGATTTTTCCATCTGTTTGGCTAAATTTGAGTCTACATAAATATTAACCTAAAAGACTAGATCAGAGTCTGTATCTACATGAAACTATTACATCTTTATCAGTTATTATAAAAATTTCATGTGACAATAAAAGAGAGACAGATGAAGTACTGTTGATATCAAGAAGATTCCCAGGGGTCACTTTCAACAATCTTCCAACACAGACTAGACTTTGATGTGACATGGTCACTTTAGTCTGGTGAGCAGGTTGTCAGAAAAAAGCTTATATTCAACTGAAAGTGATAAAAGATCAAGACAGCAAAAAACTAGATGGGTGACTCCTGATTTCCAGGATGGTTTGACTTGCCCCTACAGCATTCTGTGAATGGTCTGTGCTCTAGGGCACTTGGGAACTGTGCTTTTGAAGTGTTTTTATGATTTTCTATCAAAGTAGTATTAGTACTTTTTTCAGATATCATCTGCTTCACCAGAGCTAATAACTGAAGATGTACATATACACCTGGAGAAAATGTAGAAAAGGTTAGACACCTGGCCTTTTACCAAGAAAGAAATAAAAATATGAAGTTCTATTTTTAAATTGATTTTATTGGTATATTTTAGGTATACACTATAATAGCATTCATCACTGAAAATTTGCACCTTTGCATAATGAGGTTCTGTATTTCCAATAAAGACACTATACAACAGTCAGACTTTCCTTATCTATTTCCCATCCATCCACTCCATAATGACTATAGCAATCTTATCAGGCCAGTTATTTCCCTCTCTGATGTTCCAGTGTAATAACTATGTTCAGGTGGGTTCCAATTATGGGCTATTCCCCTCTCTAGGTCAGGCCCTAATGTATGTGTATTTCCAGATCTGTACCATGTAGCTACTTGTCAACAAGTAAGAATAAGAAAAGTAGGGCTGGGGATTTAGCTCAGTGGTTCTGCTGCCTGCCCCACAAAAACAAGGTCCTCAGTTTGATCCCCGTTACCAAAAAAAAAAAGAAAAGTAAATGTTGATTATGATTGAGGACAGGCTGTATACTTTGTGCTGCCCAGTCAAGATGAAAAGGAGGCTTCTCTACTAAAAAAAAAAAAAAAAAAAAAAAAAAAAAAAAAA